AGTCTTAGGTGTAGTAGCGCACGCGCTTAGTTGTAATAGTAGTACTCGTAGAAGTAGTAGACGTAGTAGTAGTGGTAGTAGTAGTAGTAGTCGTAGCAGTAGTACGTCATAGTAGTATTGTTTTGTACTGCGAGTACTTCGGTGTAGTAGTATCAGTACGAGTACTCAGTAGTAGCAGTCATTGTAGCAGTCCGCGGTTGCACTTGGTAGTGCTTAGTAGTATTGCTAGTACTTGGTATTTGCAGCGCTTGTATTTAATAGTGCTCAGTGGTAGTAGTCGCAATCGTACGTCGCAGCAGTCATAATGCATGTAATATTGGTGTTGTCGCCCTGAACACCGAGCGGACTGTGATCAGACTGTGACCCTGAGAAGATTGAGATCGGCGAGTGCGCGTGGCTCTCAGGCGAGAGCCACATTTTGAAAACGACAGGCCCTCCATCCGTGAAGCCCTGGCAACGTTTTTCAAACGAGTGCGCGCGGCGCTAAGGCGAGAGCCAAATTTCGAAAATGACCCGCCCTCAATCCGTGGAGCTTTGGCACGTTTCTGAAACGAATGAACTCGGCGCTAGGGCGAGAGCCACATTTTGAAAACGATCCGCCCTCAATATCCGAAGCTCTTGCCAGCATTTGAAACGAAGGCGCGCGGCGCCAAGGCGAGAGCCACATTTTTGGAAATGAGGGTGGACTCCTCCTTCCCCCTCCTGCTCCTCCTCTTCCTCCTCCTCCTCCTCCTCATCATCATCCGGGTGCCAGGATCACACTTCCTGGTGCGAGAAGTTTCATTATTTTTCCGAATGGGGGGAGTCCTAGTAACTTCCTGGGGTTCTGCGGGTATGCTTTCGGCGGCGGTCCCGCGGGGAAGCGAGAAGGGGCCGGCCTTCCCAAAAGTCTCGGAAGTTCTCCGGCTTTCTGAGAAGTTTTCTGAGCCTTCTCCGGAGCCACAGATAACTTTTCGGAAGGTGCGAGGGTTTCTAAGAAGTCCCGCCGCCTTCTGATCAGGTCCTCTCCTTTTCACTCCCCCCCTGGCTCGCCGCCAAATCTGACACGGGACCACGAACGTGGGTATTGACTGTCAAATGTCGGGGGAGCCACTGCCCACCTCACCGACCCTTGCCAGGCCCACGCTGTAGCCAAGATGCCGACATGAGGACCACGTTGGGCTCGGGAGGGGCTTTGGCTTTTGGGCCGCTCCTGGAGCCAAGTGGTCCTGGGTCAGATTCGGCGGCGAGCCAGGGGGTAAGTAAGAAGGAGAAGGCCTTCCCAGAAGGCGGCGGACTTCTCAGAAGCCCTCGCGCCTTTCTGAGAGGTTGCTTGTGCCTTCGGGGAAGGCTCAGACGCGCCGCATACTCGTGGGCGAGGAAGAGGAGGATGAAGAGCGGGGCGAAGAGACCCATTCAAGAGGATTAGTGGGTGGGGATGCGTACACATCCTTTCCTCCTCCTTCTCCGTCTCCTCTTCTTCCTTCCAATGGGGAGGACTAGGAAGAGGGGAGGAGTACCCGTCCGTTCCTCCTCCTTGTCCTTCCCCTTTTCTTCCTTTGAGGAGGGGAGGATATACCATCCTTTCCTCCTCCTTATCCTTCTCCTCATCTTCCTTGCAATGAAGAGGACTTTGAGGAGCGGAGGAGTACCCATCATTTCCCCCTCTTTATCCTTTTTCTCTTGCTCCCTTTCCAACTTCAGAGCCTCGCTGCGGTGCCCGTGCTTCGGTGGCGTCGGGACGAAGAGGACGAGGGAGCAGGCGGAAGAGGAAGGTGAGGATGAGGGGGCATGAAAAGTGGGAAGAGGTGTTCATCCTTCTCCTCCGTGTTTACCCCTCCTCCTCACTTCCTCCCGTGGGTCCCTCAGAGGTCCCCGCGATCCCAGGAAAATCTTCAAACACCCAAACACCTCGAAAACCGTCCCCCCTATCCTTGACTCACTCCCCTCCCTCCCTCCCTCCCACCTGCATCCGAACCAGGGGGCCTTTGGAGGCCTCCAGTGCCCCGCAGAAGCGCAAGAAAGGCTTTCGACTCTTAGACGCCAAGCACATCGCGCCTGCTCCTCCTCCTCCTCCTCTTCCTCCTACCTCTTCCCCCTTCCTCTTCTACATGTTCCATCCTCCCCCACCACTTTTACTCATACTAGTAGTTACCTCATCCTTGTCGCACCACCATACGTGTCGTTATGGCGGGCTGGGCGTTTCGCCGTAGACCACCTCGCAACCTGTGATTTTGAAAATTGGAAATCCGACCGTTACACAGATGGAGCACAGGTGGGAAAGGAGGAGCAGGAGGAGGTGGAGGAGGAGAAGGAGGAGGAGGAGCAGGAGGAGGAGGGGAGGAGGAGCTGGGGGAGGAGCTGGAGGAGGAAACTGAAGAAGAGGAGGAGGCGGAGGAGATCATGATAATTATTGAGGTGGAGGCACGAGGGCGGGGCATGGAGGAGGGAGGGGAATTGCTGGGCCCTCGGACGCTGCGCTGGCGGCCGCCTCTGCCTCGCGCGTCGCCGCCGCCCGCAGAGCGCCGCCGCCATCCTGGCGCACCGGCAGAGGGGGCGCGCCGCCCGCCGTCCGCGGGCGCGCGCCGGGCGCCACTGGTCCCCACGGAGGGTCTCCGCAGCGGGGCAGGAGTCCGTGGCATCGCTCGGACGTGTGCACTCTCTTCGGCGAGGGCCACCGGGGGAGGAGATCGGATCACCCCACGAAGGAATACACGCACGAAATCGAGAGATGCATTGCGGAATGGACGTCCAAGCGATAGCAAGCGTCGGTTGGAGGTCAGAAGCCGTGTTGTGACGGACCCGGCGGAGACCTTGACATCCGCAGGTCGGCCTCGCTGAATGGGAGGGGCGATACATTGGGGGGGGGCAGCGAGGTCTGCCGAAGAGGGGCCCTTCAGAGCCCCTAAAGGGGTCCTTTCGGGCCCAGAAGGGGGCCTTTGGGGCCCGAAAAAGTACACCTTTCTCACCCCCCCTCAATTTATCGCCCCCCCCTTGAGTGGCGCCCAACGCAAGAACCTCACCGCAGGGTGCGTCGCCACACGGTTTAGAGACCTCGAAGGCGCCAGTCGTCCGAGACATCCTCGGAGAACGACCCAGGTCCCAAAACCTTGCGGTGATCCCGAATCCCTTCCGACTCACACGGTGTGGTCACCACACCGTGTGGGGGGCCCCGAGTCGGGGGTGGCCAAGCAGGGCAGGGCGACGCGTGCTGAAGGGACCCAGGGAGACGCACGTAAATCGACGCCAAGCATCAGCATCCCTGGCATTGTTCCTGTTTGTTCCTAGATGTTGTGAGCACCCTCCATTTATCATCACAGCGAGGGGGCCGAGCGGTTAGTCATTGACCCTGGGTGCGCGGCTGAAATGGGACTCCACGGTGTGGATTCGGTTTGCTGTTGTTGTTGTAGTTGAATGCCATGTCTAAAGAGCAACTATGATTGATGATATTGTAGTTGTAGTTGTTTGTGTTGTTGTTGCTGCTGTTTTTGTTGTGATTGTTGTTGCTGTTGGTGTTGTTGGTATTGTTGTTGCTGTTGTTATGTGGTTGGTGGTGTTATTGTTGGTGGGGGTGGGGTTGTTGGTGGTGTTGTTGTTGCTTCTGCGGGTGTTGTTGCTGTTTGCCCTGCTGATGATGTCGAATACCCACTTCTAAATATTGATTGTTGTTCCCCCCTCCGAATACACCCACTTCTAAATGGTGGTTGTTGTCCCCCCCTCCAGTAATCATTGCATTGTTTAACTAAAGTGCTCCTCCCGGGGCTCGCACCCTGTTTCTTACAAGGGACAGCTTGGTGTTACCAAACTGGGCCCCTGGCCCTCGATTCACAAGTGGCACGTAGCACACGTTGCAGGTAAGAAAGATATACCCACAGAGTCTGGTCGAAGACGAAGGAGGCGGTTATCGGGGGTTTGGGATATACGCGTTGAATGGCACGCGAGCAGATAAGATCGAACGGTCTTAAAATGATTGTTGTTGTTGCTGTTGTTGCTGCTGGTGTTGCTGTTGAAATTAAATTTCTGAAACTTAATTATTGTTCATCCCCCCCGCCCGGTGCACATGGTGTGTTTCAATTGGAGTGTCTTTCCCACGGCTCGCACTTTGTTTTTTACAAGGGAGAGTATTGAGCGTCAAACTGCGCCCCTGGCCCCCGAGTTACAACAACAGCGGCTTCTGCCTGATACTTCCTCACAATGTATTCCCAAATCGCGCTCTCGCGCGGGACTTCCTCACAATGTATGCAGGAATCACGCTCTCGCGTGGGACTTCCTAGCAATTTATTCAGTCGCCGCGCCCTCACTAAGGAATCACGCTCTCGCTGTGTATTTCCCTACGGTTTACTTGGGAATCGCGCTATTGTTCGGTATTTCCTCGCGATTCGTGCAGGACGCACGCTTCAGCAACCCGCCTGCTCGACCTGGCCGCTTGGGCCCGCCTTCCCGACCCGCCCGCTAGGGTCTGTCCGTCTGTGTCTGCCACGTGTGTTCTGCTCCCAGGCCCCCTCCTTCTAACTTCTCTCGTACTCCATCCTCCTTCCTCCCCCTTGTCGTTTCCTTCCGTCCGTCCTCTCTTCCCCTGTGTGAAGGAGCTGCGCTAAATGCGCGTGGCAGGTAAGAAAAGTCTGCCCCCAAGGGGATACGATCGAAGACGAAGAAGGCGGGTATCGATGGTTTGAGGTACACGTGTCGAATGGCACGCGAGCAGATAAGAGCGAGCAGTCTTAAAATGATTGTTGTTGCTGCTGCTGTTGTTGCCGTTGTTGTTGTGGTTGTTGTTAATTGTTGCTGTTGTTGCTGAGTGTTCATGAAAGAGTAATTGTTGTTGATCCCCCCCTCCGGTAACCATCGCACTTTTTCGTTAAAATGTTCATCCCTGGGCTTGCACCTTGTTTTTTACAAGGGGAAGCTGGGCGTCATAAAACTAAGCCCTTGGCCCCCGATTTACAACAACAGCGGCTCGAGCCTGATAGTTCCTCACAATTTATTTCCAATTCGCGCTCTCTCGCGGGATTTCCTCACCATGTATGCAGGAATCGCGCTCTCGCGTGGAACTTCCCGGCAATTTATTCAAACGCCACGCCCTCAACACTCAGGAATCACGCTCTTGCTTTTTGGCTTTTCTCACGATTCAGTTGGGAATCGCGCTATTGCTCGAGAATTCCTCGCGATTCATGCAGGACTCACGCTTCAGCAACCTGCCTGCTCGACATGGCCGCCAGGGCCCGCCTTCCCGACCCGCTTATTAGGGTCTGCCCGTCCGGTCTACCCGTCTGGGTCTGCCACGTGTTTTCTGCTCCTAGCCCCCCTCCAGCTACCCTCTTGTGCTCCATCCTCCTCCCTCCCCCATGTCCATTCCTTCCATCCGTCCTCTCGTCCACTGCCTTTTTGGCTGCATGTAATACACGTTGCAGGTAAGAAAGAAAGACCCACAAGGGACACGGTCGAAGACGAAGGGGGCGGGTATCGGAGATTTGGGATATACGCGTTGAATCGGTCGCGTGCAGATAAGATCGAACCGTTTTCAAATGATTGGTGTTGTTATTCTTGTTGGTATCGTTGATGTTGCTTATGTTGCTGTTGTTGTTGATGTTGTCGTTGTTGTTAGTTTTGTTGCTGTTGTTGTTGATGTTGCCGTTGTTGTTGTTGTTGATGTTGGAGTTGTTTGTGTTGTTGTGTTGATGTTGCTGTTGTTGTTGCTGCTGCTGTTGCTGTTGTTGATGATATTGTTGCTGCTGTTGTTGCTGCTGATGTCGAATGTTCATTTATTTAAAAAATGTTCCCCAATCAGAGCTTGCCTCTGTAGGGGTCCTAGCGGATTCATATGGTTAGGTTAGGTGAGCCGCCGATTTCGGCGGCACGCCCGGGTGCCTTTGTGCCCGGGTGCGCCGCCGATTTCTGCGGGTGCCCGGGTGCCACGTAACCCTACAGCCCTATAGCCCAATTTCCCCATAGCCCTATAGCTCTATAGCTCTATAGCCTTATAGCCCCAGAGCCCTATATAGCCCCATAGCCTTATAGCCCTACAGCCCCATAGCCCTATAGCCCTATAGCCCAATAGCCGTATAGCCCAATAGCCCTATAGCCTTACAGCCCTGTAGCCATATAGCCCTATAGCCCCGTAGCCCTATAGCCTTATAGCCCTGTAGTCCTATAGCCATATAGCCCTATAGCCCAGCCATATATTCCAGTAGCCCTATAGCCCTATAACCTCATAGCCTCATGGCCCTATAACCCTATAGCCCTACAGCCCTATAGCCCTATAGCCCTTGATTTCTATAGTGCTATAGTCCTCGAGAGGGGTGTGCCGAAATGGCCAAAGGCCGCCGTGCGAACCCTGCCACTGGCGCCGTCGGTGGAGTTCCCCGTGGGGCCACGATGCTCGTGTGCCGAAATGGCCCGAGGCCGCCGCGCGAACCCTGCCACTGGCGCCTTCGGCGGAGCTCCCTATGGGGCCACGATCCTCGTGGGGGGTGTACCGACATGCCCGGAGGCCGCCATGCGAACGCTGCCACTGGGGGTCTTCGGTGGAGCTCCTTATAGGGCCACGATCCTGTGAGGGGTGTGCCGAAATGGCCCGAGGCCGCCATGCGAACGCTGCCAATGGGGCCTTCGGTGGAGCTCCCTGTGGGGCCACGATCCTTGTGAGGGGTGTGCCGACATGGCCCGAGGCCGCCATGCGAACCCTGCCACTGGCGCCTGTGGCGAAGCTCCTTATGGGGCCACGATCCTCGTGATGGGGGGAGCCGAAATGGCCCGAGGCCGCCGTGCGAACCCTGCCGCTACGATCCTCGTGAGGGGTGTGCCGACATGGCCCGAGGCCGCCATGCGAACGCTGCCACTGGGGGTCTTCGGTGGAGCTCCCTATGGGGCCACGATCCTCGTGAGGGATGTGCCGAAATAGCCCGAGGCCGCCACGCGAACGCTGCCATTGGGGCCTTCGGTGGAGCTCCCTACGGGGCCACGATCCTTGTGAGGGGTGTGCCGAAATGGCCCGAGGCCGCCATGCGAACGCTGCCACTGGGGCCTTCGGTGGAGCTCCTTATGGGGCCACGATCCTCGCGAGGGGTGTGCCGAAATGGCCCGAGGCCGCCATGCGAACGCTGCCACTGGGGCCTTCGGTGGAGCTCCTTATGGGGCCACGATCCTCGTGAGGGGTGTGCCGAAATGGCCCGAGGCCGCTGCCACTGGGGCCTTCGGTGGGGCTCCTTATGGGGCCACGATCCTCGTGGGGGGTGTGCCGAAATGGCCCGAGGCCGCCATGCGAACGCTGCCACTGGGGCCTTCGGTGTAGCTCCATATGGGGCCACGATCTTCGTGAGGGATGTACCGAAATGGCCCGAGGCCGCCATGCGAACCTTGCCACTGGCGCCTTCGCTGGAGCTTCCTATGGGGCCACCATCCTCGTGAGGGGTGTGCCGAAATGGCCCGAGGCCGCCATGCGAACGCTGCCACTGGGGCCTTCGGTGTAGCTCCTTATGGGGCTACGAAGCGCTGTATTGGGTGGGTGAAACGCAGGGAAGAAGGGGAGGAGGGAGGAGCGGGAGGAGGAGGGGCGA